TAGGACTGTTAGCTGTTTTTTAATTTCTACAAATTCAAGTTGTCATGGGAACTAAGAGTGTGGTATTTTAATTTGTTTATATAGCTAAAACTTTTTAGAATTGGGTATACTATAGCCTACGTCACAGGTTGTGTTGTTCCTACTAAATTTAACCCATGAACGGCATTTTCTGCGAGCCTAACTTCAAGCCACAAATAAACAAACGAAGTGTTCGATCGTTTAAATAGCTGCTCGCCAGATTTTATTGCATTACAAAGAAAAGTTATTGAAACTAAATGCAACTAAATAAACAACAACAACTGAAACAAATAACAACAACTACTAATAACAATAACTAAATAAACAACAACTAAATTCCATTCGTTTAGCATTGCGTCATATGTTGTTCCTACTAAATCGAAGTAGTTGTGTTTTTTTCATATTATACCCAATTGTTGAGTCTTATAGGAATTTGGGAATAGAATTTGATTTAAATACAAATACTTAAAGAAATCATAAAAGTGCAGTTAAACGCGCAAAAAAATAATTCGACTAGTGCCAAAAATATAACACTCTTGACGTTTCACTTTTTTTAAAAAGTCGTCTGCATTTTGTCCGTACAAATTTTATCCTATTAGTTAGAAATATGAAATAAATAAATAATATATTTTTTTGCTCAAAATTCTATTTGGCAAGAAATACTTAGAAGTTAGATATCAGACTTTCAATACAAAGAAACATATTTCATCCTTATCCTGATTCAATCGAGAAAAAAACTATTTTAATATTTATTGCAGCTGAATTTTGATGTTTTACACAGTTAGAATTTTCATTCTGAAATAACGGTAATATAACTGTCAGCAGTGTGACTATTCGATTAACCACGAAGTTTATGGTTCGGAACATTTCTTTACCTTTGCCGTTTTGAAACTGTTTACAACTTCTACTGTTAAAAAACCGTGAATACAAAGCTATACGGTTGTGTAACCATTTACATCTAGCATAGTTTCTAAATCATAAAAATAAAACTTAAACTGGCAATGGAGTTCTGTAGATGCTTTTCTATTTATACGTAAATGATATTTCCGTATTATAATAATCTAGGGATCACTGATTGAAGAGTGCAAGACACTACAAACTCTTTATATATTGAAGAACTGAAAGAAATATTGTAGTATCAACGCTGGGATTCGAACCTATGTTCAGCCGGTCGTGAGATTAAACAATTAGCGCTCTCAACAAGAGTATGTACCCATCTTCACGGAGAAAAACTGCTTCATAAGGTGAACCTAGTTGTCGCGAATAGAATTCTGGTAGTTAAACCGTATTAGGTAAAAGCAATCCATAAATGTTTTTCTCAAAGTTTGAATATCATTTCTTTATGATTATTTGACTGTTTTGGTTAAATATGGTAAAATAGTATTTAAATAAATTGGTACTGCCCTTTTCACCGAGAAATTTCTAACAGTGGACTAAGAATCAAATACATCATGAATTCTAAAATTCATGATTAACTGATAAACTGTAATTGTGAAATTCGTGATCTAAGTTATTTTTATGGTTCGCTATGTAATTTCTTTTCTAGAAGTACAATGCAGTTCGAAGCCTAAAAACATGTTCTAAGTCTAAAAACAACAAATTTGACTAGTTGATGAAGACAACATAATAATGCATTGAAACACGCATAAAAAATAATTCGACCAGTTCTTCTAAAACATTTAACATTTGTGATTTGCAAATTTTATCTTATTAGTTAGAAGTCTAAAAGAAAAAAGATATAATTTTTCTGTTTATAATTCTATTCGACAAAAATACTTAGTTAGATTTTTTATAATTTGGAAAAATCTTTTATCCCTATACTGGTTCCATCGAGGAAAAAAAAACTGTTGCAATAACAAAATGTATTGCATTTTTGTTTTATTGTTTCGCTGTGCATCAAATAACTCATAAATTTTAAAATTTATGATTGAGTGATACACAGTAATTGTAAAATTCATCTGAACTATTTTTATGATTCCCTATGCAATATAGATTTTTTTTCTCCAGCGGTACAATACATTATGTTTTAAGCCTAAAAGCAAAAAATTTCAAAAACAAAAGTCAAGCTTGTTAAAAAGTGCAGTTAAATGCCATAAAGAATATTTCGACTAGTTACTCTAAAACAAATTAACATATCTGGTATTTTATTACTATTTTTTTTATATCGACTGCATTTGGAGCAAACGAATTTTATTCTATTAATAATGCGAAATAAATAAATATAAATTTTCTTTCTGTTTAAAATTCAATTCAGCAAAAAATTCCCAGAAGTTAGATTTCAGAATTTCGATACAAAGAAACATATTTCTTCCCTACCCTAATTCCATGGTAGAGAGAAAAAACTTTTTAACATTTATTGCTGCTGGGTTTTATTGTTTCACTGTGTATCAAATAATTCATGAATTGTAAAATTCCCCTCATTCAAAATAAGTCTTTTTTTAAAAAAGAATCAGTAATTCTAATTGACAGGAAACATGAAGAAATCAGTGATTGTGAAGTTGAAAACCTCTTTACCCATTTATGCTGAACGGTTTTGTTGTTTCGTCAACACAGAGGAGGCTATTTCACTGAACTACTGGACCTTCAAGTTATCCGATAGTCATTCGGTCAATAGTTGAAAGAAAGTGAAGGGGAAAAAATTATTTCTTGGGGTCAATAACTCGGCAGACATCAGTATAATCTTCTCCTCATAAGGTTAAATATAGCCTGAAGCTTATTTAGAATCATAAATATTTCCGCATCTATTTCATTTGATACAGCAACAGGAATAAAGGCTAGGAGAGTTTTAAAATTTTGCATCATTAAATAGCCAGAAGTTGTTTCGACTCATCAGGCTTTAACATAAACTTACTATACAAGATAACGTCAAATGTTAATTTCTCAAATTTTCTTTACAATGAATAGACTGCAATAAGATAGCCACAATGCAGTTTAAAGAGTTTCAAAACTTGAATATATCTTAAAACGTTTTAGATTGTTTAATTGTTACTACTTGGAAAAATATTATTGTTAATTTCTCCTAAATGGTTCTTACTTCTTAAAAGTCTTGTGGTATGTTTATGAACTAGAACGTAATTCAAACATAAATGATACTACAATTAAATATATTTTTTCCACTATCTTTCTGAATGTTTTTTTTTTCAAAATTTAAAAGTATACACGGAGAAAAAATTTTTGGTGAAATTACCGTACTGAATGGTGATAAAAGTAAAAATCCATAGTTTTGGTTAATAAAATCAAAATATGTGGTATTTAAACCATTTATTTGGTAATATTTTCGGTTCATATGGCAATGGTTTACCGGAAATACTGGTTTACAAAATTATAGCTCTTATTACCATACATTTAGAAAAAAAATACGAAACTAAAATGTAAATTTAGCCAAACAAATGGATTTTGTGCTATGTTCTAAGGTATGATAGAATTACCAAATTTTAACACACATTCCAAATTTTAGCACATATTATGAAACGCCATATTTTATGTTTAATTTTACCAAAATCCTTACCAATGCACTTTGGTAAAAATTATCGAGCTTTTTGAGGTTCCCATAGAGCCAGAAATGCGGTAAATGTTACCATATTCAGTAGTTTTGATCATATTTTTTTCTCAGTGTATATTGCAAAACCTTTCGCAAAATGTTTAGATTTTGTTTAAAATACTAATCCATTATGATGATTGCGTTTTGTTTTGTGTGTTTTTTTCTCTAAATGGTTATGTTTAAAATCGTTTTCTTTTTAAAAGATGGTTAGATTTAAAATAATAATTTTTTTCCGCGAGAAATAAATATTAAAAACAATACTGACAAACTGCCATAATAATACATAATTTCACTACGTATAAGCGTCAGAGTGCTTATAGTTTACTTCATGAAAAAAGCGAAAGAAAAATTAAAATTCTTGTAAAGCAAAATTTCAGTGCTGAAAAGTTCACAAAATACTATAAAACTTGCCACCTGATACAAAATGCACTGACAGTAATCACTGAGATTTAAAAAATTATTTTTGGAACATAAATTGGAATTGTTTTGCTCTGAGGATGCCAGTTAAAATTGCGTTGAAAATTTTTTGGTAGTTTTATTAATATAAGGGATTACGAAAATTATCTTATTAACATTTAAGACTAGACAATTTAATGTCATTAATTGCTAAATCTACATCTTCTTTTGTTAACTTTTTAATCATCTCTGAAATATTAGGCTTTCTAAAAAAATAACTTGTCTTTAGGGTATTAATTCAATACATTTACACCATTTCATAATTTTCCGTTTATTATAATAATAAAACTTGCTTTTAATGCTTTTTCACTTTAAATATTTAAAATGCAGTTTTATTTTTGAAATTTATATACTTGCAAGTAAAAAAAAAGTTAAAAATAATGTTTAATTTAATATGCTTCCAAAATCAAAATAAAGAAAGAAAGATAATACATTAGTATATCTTTAGTATTAGAGAATAGCATTTAGTATTTTCTCAATAAAAAACACCTTTTTCTTAGACGATTATAAGAGATTTATCGATGTAGAACGAATTTGATTTAAAAAAAAATCGAATAAAGAAGTAAACTAGGAATGTAATAAACACACATTCTACCTAATTGAAAACACACAAATTATTGAGTTAATATCACATTTAATTGCACTTATTTCGGACAACACCCATTGATTATTTGAATTTAATCCAAGCGAAAAATTCCATCAGAAAGTTTCCGGTTTTCGTCGTGTCAAAAGTCATAGGTGATCTTTTAATATTGAACCATACCGTCTCGCCAGAAATGAGAGTGAAAACTTTTCGAATCGAGACTTTTATCACTTGGCCCTTCCCCTATCATTACCTACTTTTTGGTTCAGCTCCGTTAGCTTTTCCTTTTGCTTTGAACCGGTTCCCCACCCTGCGACACAGTCTTCTGGTTACTCATAATCCCTTTGGACAGAGCGGGTATTAGTCCGTAATGCTCCTTCTGTTCTTTGGGACTCTCTTTCATCTTTCTTATCCTCTTGTGCATTCGAGATGCTTCTGAATTTGTGGATGGATGTACGTAGGATTGAATATTTATGATAGTATGTCAAGTAAGTGGTTCTGAATTGGCAACAGATTTGGCAATGTTGTTTATTTGATTCGTGTTGATTTTTAAGATATTAGAAGAATTTTTAATTAAGTGAAAAGTTGTTAAATGAAACTGAACTGCTGTCTTCAAATACATTGAAATTTTCGATTGCACTATGAAGTGTTTTCAAATCTTTGTGAAATTAATTACATTTTGAAGTCTTACGTATATGTTTCAGAATTTGGAAAAAAAGTATTGCATTTTAATTTTTTTCAATAATGTTTTCCAATTTAAAGATATAGTTCTTCTAGTTATTATTTAGCAGAAATAGTTTAAGGAAAATTCTCAAGATTATTCTAAAAGAAATACTTATTGATGAACACTCCAATGATAAATTCAAGTTTCACTCCATTAAACTTAGATTGATGTACAGAAATGTTTAATTATTTTCCTTTTTTAAAAAAAAGGAAAAATCATGAAAACTGAAGTGATTTCAGAAAAGATTTTCAAAATTGAAGAACAAATTCTAGAATGAAGAAAAGATTTATGAATGAAGAAAGGATGCTAAGGCATGCAAAAATATTCTAGATTATAAAAGTGATTCTTTAATATCAAACTGATTTTAAAAATAAATGAATTTTGAATGAAAATAATAGCTTTTGAATGAAGTGTTTATTATGAAAGTATTGGAGTATTTCTTATAACTGCTAAAGTGACATTAGATTAGATTAAAAAAGCGATTCGAAAATTGAAGATATTACAGAAAGAGTAACTCTAAAAAGATATTCTACAAGTAAGAAACCCTAAAAAATGAGAATGGTTCTAAGAAAATGAACACTAACACTAGAACAAAGAAGTGGTGTTATAAATAAAAATTAAGAAAACGATTCAGCTCATAATAAATGATTGAATGTTCTTTAACATAAAACAACCAAATGAGAACTTTTCTATGAAATATGAAACAAATTATAAATACGTTATGTCATAAAGCCGAAAAATGTCCATAAATAGCATAGAACACGAATAAATATTCCTTGACTTATCATAAAACAATCGATTCTAGAATAGAATTTTATTTCCGTCTGATTATAAAACTTGTTAAGACGCGTTTCATGCACGACGGAGAATAACTTTCCTATTGAGATAAACTTAGTTACCAAATATTGACCTCAACCTCATTGTTTGTAAACTATCCAAGAAAGCTACTTTGAACTGAACATCGACTAAAGGATTTGCTTCATGATATGATTTTCCGCAATGGTTTTTCTCCTCGTCTCAGTTTTCGTTCAAGTCCTAACAAGTCTTAATCCTGAAAAACAAAAGGATTGTGGAATAAAGAGGAAAGATTTCTCACGAAGGGAAAAAATAATTTTTAGTGTTCGTGAGGCACCATGCTGTTACTGAAGGTGAGTGAACTAAAGTTCTAAATGGTTTCTCATTTGGTGCAAAGATATTTTCTTAGTGCATTTTTAAATTAACTTTAATGAAAAAAAATCAAGTTGAAAGTTATGTATAAATTAACTACAAAATAATTTTTTGTAAAAAAGTAGCAAACTTTGTGTAAACAAATTCCTATAATATAATCATTTGTAATTCTGCCCTTTTTATATTTTTTTCTGTTCTTTTTTAATCGTTTGCAACTCTTCCCTTTTTTAATTTTAAATTTTATGCACGATTTTTAATCTCTACTTCAAATATTAATAATACAATCATGATTATAATTATTAAAACTTTCAAATTTCAATATGGCATCTGAATCTGTTTTTAAAATAAGTAGATCACATGAAAAAGTATGTGTAAAAAAGTAGACTCAAAACTGAGATTTTCTGTTGTATTTTCAAACGTAACATAATCATAGACATTTCATGATACATTAAAAGTTCGTTTTGTTGGCAACGATGAAAGAAATGTGTGAAAATAATAAGGAAGTTTATAACGCGCAAAACAAAGGTAAAGCAAAACATAGCATTAAATATAACAATTAAGAATGAGTAATTGCTATAAGCCATTTTAATTAATCATTCTTTATTTCAATTATCTACTTTGCATGATACGATTTTGAATATTTTGCACTAAAGTATTATTGAACTTCTAACATATTAAATAAGTTATTAAATATGCATTGCGGTAAAAAACGCAGCATAGCATTAATAACAAAATAGCGAAATATATACCGTTGATGACAAGAATAAAGAATATTTAATTGCTAGAAGCAATTTTTATTCATCATTCTTCATTCCAATTATCTACTCTGCTCAATATAATGAATAATTTCACCGTACTATAGTATTACTGAATATTTAACATAATATATATGTTATTAAATATGCTATTAAATTTGCATCTGGGTAAAAAACATAGCATATCACTAATAGAAAAATAGAAAGATAATGCAATAATGATAAGAATAAGGGATAATTAATTAGAATAAGCGATTTTCATTCACAATTCTTTATTCCAATTATCTCTGCAGAACACGATTATGTATAATTTCAACTGCAATATAGTATTACTGAATATGTAAAATGTTGCATTTGTTATTAAATATGCCAATAAATTTGTATCGGGGTAAATTAACATAGCACAGCATTAATAGAAAAATAGAAAACCATAGCAATAATGATAAAAATGAAGAATAATTAATTACAATAAGAAACTTTCATTAATAATTCTTTATTTCAATTATCTACTGTGCATAGCATGATTATGAATGATTTCATCGCACTAAAGTATTACCGAACATGTAACATATTAAATACGTTATTAAATATGCATATGGGTGTTTTTCCAGTTACCGTCACTCTGCCAGGTATAAAAAATAAATATTTGTGTCCGGAAGTGTTCTGAAAGTAACAATAGGAGACAATTGGCTCCTCGTTGTGCAGAAATGAGCTCTGTCAAGAGAAAAATATAATTTAAAAATATTTCTTTGTTATTCCTTTTTTTTCAAATATTAATTCTAATTGTTTATTTTTTGCTTAAATTTTTTCTGCTTATCCAAACAACAAAAGTTTAATCGGGGATAAAGTTGAGTGAACCCAGAAGTGCTAAAAAATGTAACCCTGCATCTCGAAAAGTGTCAAAATTACTGACATAAATTTTAAGTAGTTTCCATTGTTAAATTAGTTTCATAAATAATGCAGTTCTGTCCATTGCTGTAAAATAATAAAAGTTTTAAGAATAGTTAGGGTAGTTTGAATTATTAAAATTAATAAATTTTTTTTATAAAGTTGTTTAAGTAACTTTTTGCATATTTACCTTTCGTTAAAATTTGTATTGTAAAGTAGTCGAAATCACATTATAATAAAATTATTTGATTTAATAAAATATTATTTTCTTTAAGTTTTTACAAAAGTGTCTTTTTTATTAAACTTTTTATTTTACCAAAAACACACTTTTTTTTAAAAAAAAATAGTACTCTCATCCATAAAGCCTATTTAAATTACTTCATTACTCATTCTTAATTAATTAATTCATCGTAATTATTTTCCCAAACCTAATAATAATTGAAAAAAAACTATAAAAAAATTACTGACTATAAAAAACTTTGCTGCTCTTTGCATTAAAAAGCTAAAAACAATCAAGTCATTTAATAATTGCAAAATTCTTAATTACACAATGTTGTATAGGTTTTATGAAGCGATGTTTTTTTTACAACTTTTTACAAATTTGCTTATTATTTTATGTACTCGAAGGATGTTTAATTGCTTAACAATTAAAAGAACAAAAGTTTAATTAGTTTATAATAATAATTATTGAAATTCCTTTAACTTATTATGAAAATTATTCAGTTTTTTTTATTCATTTTCATAAAAAGAAGTTGCAATTATTTTTACTTATTACGACTTCCATGCATGTTAATGCAACTATAAGATTTTGGCAAGAACTGTAAAAATTTATTTAAGAAATCTTAGTGTTTTTTAAATGCTTACAGTACTTTAATAAAGTGGGATAAACACATTAAATATTTACTAAATGTTTGTATGAATCATTTTTAGATGGAAGTAAAAAATTACTTCTACACGTTTTTCTGCCAATCAAACATCAAAACAAACTGAAATATAACAAAAACAAATGATCCCATACGAATAAAACTCAATTATTTTGAAAATCTCTAAAGTTACAAAAGCCATACACAGAACAATTATCCGAATATTTATTTCTTGTTTAGAGTTTTTCTCATTGATTGTGTTAAAAACATTTAAATATTTAACCTAGACAAAAACACATTAAATGAACAAAAGGTGCTGACATTATATTCACGGTTTTTAATTAAAATGCCTGTATTTACCACAGGTGACCTCAACCCTTCAAAAAATGACAGCTTTCGAAGGCATAAACCACAATTCAAGATTCGAATTGAGGAGTAAATTAGAGGTGAATATGAAATCACTAAGTGAAAAAGGAAATGCGCTTTATGAATGTAAATGACCTCAACCGAAGTCTCTTTTATGCCTCAAGCATATCATCTTCTTTTCACTTTCATCTTTAATAAGATGGATGAATGACAATTAGCATCAATTTAAAACGAATGTTTGGCATTCATAAATGATTTCAATTTGATGTGTAAACCAATCATCGCATTAAAAATTGTTCTTTAAGTGTGTTTTTTTTAATCAAAAATTGTTTGAAACATTGTTTTGTGTGCCATTTTATGTCAAGTCTAAATTATTGTATTTGTCGAGAACTACGAGATTGTCAAAAATAACTAATATAGCTCAAGAATCTCAGAATTGTCAAAAACGGGATTATTACTGAGAGTGCTCGCAGTTAAGATGAATAGAGAAAAAAAAGCATGGTCAAAACTACCGCAATATGGTAATATTGACAGTGTTTCTGACTCTGTGGAAACCCCCAAAAGCTTGGTTTTGGTAAAGCAAGATTTTGCAAAATGAACAAAAAAATTTGATTTTATAATATGTGATAAAATTCAATTCATCACTAAATATGTGGTAATAAGAACTACTATTCAAGAAACCAGAATTTTTGGTAAACCGTTACTATATGAACAAAAAAAATTACCAAACGTATGGTTAATGTACCGCAAAATGCGGTTTTATTATCCAGAATTATGATTTTTTTTAACGGAAATATCAATACTATACAGTAAAGTTATTTTACTAAAACCTTTTTCTCCTATTATTATAGTTTAAGTGCTGAATTCAAAAATTTGAAAGATTTCACATAAGACGGAGAATTTGAAAGGTTTGGGAATTATAGTTATTAGCGATTTTGTTTCTGAAGTTCACGTTCTCACATCTAATTCTTTCTCAGCTTTGTCGCCAGAAAAGTATTTTACATGTTTCTAAAATTTTTGCTGAATAATAACTCGATGCACAGAAACATTTCATTGCCAAACAAAATCGTGGTATTTTCATCATTTGCTCTATTAAACAAGTTAAAAATGTGGCTTATATTGCTTCAAATCTCTTTCATTTGAATTAATTATTCTCTAAGTATGAATTACAATTACATTGAGCGTTATACCATAGATTATAGATAGTATAAAAAAAAACTTTCTTTCATTAATTCTGTTAAAAATGCTCACTGCTGCAAAAAAGGAAAAGAATTAAAATTTTTAATGCATTGTATTAAAATAATTTTGTTTTTTGAGAGCTATATCTTTTAGTTAGAATAAATGTTTAACACCCTTTAATCTTTTACCTTTTGTTACATTGTTAGAAATTTCTCGAAAAATGGTTTAGTAACAATTTATTTTATTGATATTTTACCATATTCAAATAATCATAAATAGGATGGTAATAAAACTGTTAACTGTGAGAAAAATAGTTTATTAACTGCTTTCACCTGATACGGTTAAACAATCAAAATTGTATTGCCCCAACTAGTCTTACCTAATGAGGCCACTTAGTTCCCTGCAACTGAGCATATATTATAGCCAATCTGTCAATCTTATGACGGACAGAATGGAGGATCAAGTTCCAGCGTTACAATACAAAAATTCATTCATTCCCTTCAACACGCAAAGAGTTTCCAGTGTTCTGGACTCTACAATTTGTGACCCTGGACTATTAAAATATGACACTCTTACTCACGCATAGACGGCGTAAAGTTTAGTTCCAATATCCAGTTAAATTTCTTTATCACGGTTTTGAAACTAGGCTAGTTGTAAATGCTTATAAGACAGTATAGTTTTGCAATCATGGTTTTTTAACCATACTAGTTGTAAATGGTTTCCAAACCGCAATTTTCCTTTACAATAAACTTTACGGTTAATTGTATGGACAGACTGCTGACGGTTATTTTACCGTAATTTTGGAATGAAAACTCTAACAGGGCACCCTCTAAATGTATTTTAATTAGATTTATTTAAATAAATTACAATGAAAATATTATTTAATAAAAATATTGATAATTTAGTGAGAAACCCTTGAGAAAAATTCGA